TATAACGGCTTGAGGCACTTTAATGATACAATATATCTATTACACGTGTTTAATAAAGGTACATGGTTGAAACGTACCTGTTCTTTAATTCTGTTGGTGGATTTGACGCTGGCTTGGCAACAGTCCATGACCCACTGTGCCATTGCTGCCTGCTGTCTAGAACGACGTCAATACAACTGTTGCCATGTGGCCTTGACCCGGAAATAGATTATCGGTGAGCTGACGTCATTGTTGACAAGAAAGATATCATAATTTGAATGGTTATTTTATTAACACACATTAAACACATTTGCTCACGCCTTCCTCCAATCCTTCCTTCCTTCATTCGTTTATTTACTCAAATCATAGAGTTTGCTTTAGTCTTCACTAGTTTTGAGTAGAGCTGCATTGTAAAAGTGGTTATATCAGCCTCGTGAAAAGTTCAGTATTTTGTCCTGAGTGTCCTTTGGTGCGTGCGTGTGTGCGTGCGTGCGTACCCCACTCAGACAAAGTACACTGACTCTGAGCCTACCTGTCCTTGCTCAGCCCACTGCTGCCGAAGCGCCACGCAGGGTAACAACAAGTACCATATTTTAATCTCTTTTGGTATGACGCTGCCGGGGATCGAACCCACGACCATTCTCTCTCCGGGCAGGTAGACGCTCGATCCACTATGCCATGGAGACGGTCACATAATACCGTAGGGAGCCTGTCATTAGCACAGTGCACTGTTAAAAGTAGTTCTGTTAATGTAAATGACTTTAGCCTGGTCTGCCATAGGGTGGGTTCCTAGTCAAAGCCATCAACAAATCTGTCTGAATCTGAAACACAAACGTCAACATGTGGTACTCGACCAGCTGTGTAATGATGACTACCAGGCCGGATGATGTCTACCAATCGTAGGCCGGATTACAGTAGGTTTTCAACGAGTAAATGAAAGTCATCGGCCCGAAGTCTACCAGTGATGGAAATCATGGGTGAAGAGGCAAGACGTATTGCGTAACACTTTCTGGTTACAGTCATATCTGGAGAGAAAGAGACGTATCTATCCATAGCCATGTAGACTGAATATTGGTAAGAGGCAGAATTGATACTGGTCACATGTCGACACTTGATACTGGTCACATGTAGACGTGATTGATACTGGGTATATGTAGACTTGATACTCGTGACATGTAGACTTGATACTGGGTATATGTAGACTTGATACTGGTCATATGTAGACTTGATTGACTTGATACTGGGTATACGTAGACTTGAAACTGGGTATATGTAGACTTGATACTGGTCACATATAGACTTGATACTTGTCACATGTAGACTTGATACTGGTCACACGTAGACTTGATAAAGGGTATATGTACACTTGATACTGGTCACATGTAGACTTGATACTGGTCACATGCAGACTTGATACTGGTCATATGTAGACTTGATACTGGTCACACGTAGACTTGATACTGGTCACATGTAGACTTGATACAGGTCACATGTAGACTTGATACTGGTCACATGTAGACTTGATACTGGATATATGTACACTTGATACTGGTCACATGTAGACTTGATACTGGTCACATGCAGACTTGATACTGGTCACATGTAGACTTGATACTGGTCACATGTAGACTTGATGCTGGTCACATGGAGACTTGATACTGGTCACATGTAGACTTGATACTGGATATATGTAGACTTGATACTGGTCACACGTAGACTTGATACTGGTCACATGTAGACTTGATACTGGATATATGTAGACTTGATACTGGATATATGTAGACTTGATACTGGTCACATGAGGACTTGATACTGGTCACATGTTGACTTGATACTGGTCACATGTAGACCTGATACTGGTCACATGTAGACTTGATACTGGTCACATGTAGACTTGATACTGGTCACATGCAGACTTGATACTGGTCACATGTAGACTTGATACTGGTCACATGTAGACTTGATGCTGGTCACATGTAGACTTGATACTGGTCACATGTAGACTTGATACTGGTCACATGTAGAATTGATACTGGTCACATGTAGACTTGATAATGGTCACATGTAGACTTCATACTGGTCACATGTAGACTTGATGCTGGTCACATGACGACTTGATACTGGTCACATGTAGACTTGATACTGGTCACATGTAGACTTGATAAAGGGTATATGTAGACTTGATACTGGTCACACGTAGACTTGATAAAGGGTATATGTAGACTTGATACTGGTCACATGGAGAATTGATACTGGTCACATGTAGACTTGATGCTGGTCACATGGAGACTTGATACTGGTCACATGTAGACTTGATACTGGTCACATGTAGACTTGATACTGGTCACATGTAGACTTGATAAAGGGTATATGTAGACTTGATACTGGTCACACGTAGACTTGATAAAGGGTATATGTAGACTTGATACTGGTCACATGTAGACTTGATACTGGTCACATGTAGACTTGATACTGGTCACATGTAGACTTGATACTGGTCACATGTAGACTTGATACTGGTCACATGTAGACTTGATACTGGTCACATGCAGACTTGATACTGGTCACATGTAGACTTGATACTGGTCACATGTAGACTTGATGCTGGTCACATGTAGACTTGATACTGGTCACATGTAGACTTGATACTGGTCACATGTAGAATTGATACTGGTCACATGTAGACTTGATAATGGTCACATGTAGACTTCATACTGGTCACATGTAGACTTGATGCTGGTCACATGACGACTTGATACTGGTCACATGTAGACTTGATACTGGTCACATGTAGACTTGATAAAGGGTATATGTAGACTTGATACTGGTCACACGTAGACTTGATAAAGGGTATATGTAGACTTGATACTGGTCACATGGAGAATTGATACTGGTCACATGTAGACTTGATGCTGGTCACATGGAGACTTGATACTGGTCACATGTAGACTTGATACTGGTCACATGTAGACTTGATACAGGTCACATGTAGACTTGATAAAGGGTATATGTAGACTTGATACTGGTCACACGTAGACTTGATAAAGGGTATATGTAGACTTGATACTGGTCACATGTAGACTTGATACTGGTCACATGTAGACTTGATACTGGTCACATGTAGACTTGATACTGGTCACATGTAGACTTAATACTGGTCACATGTAGACTTGATACTGGTCACATGTAGACCTGATACTTCCTAGACAAAATAATTCCTACCTGCATACAAGATACTGGTCATATGTAGACTTGATACTGGTCACATGTAGATATTTTACTTGCTACATGTAGATCATAATACTGGGGGAGGGGGAGGGGGTAGGGGGTGCACAGTACCAGAGAGCAAACGCGATGGGATAGGAGGGCCACATGGCTCGATATCACACATTACAAGCCAAAATCATCTTTTTAAGAAAATACTGAAGATAAAGAAATAACAAATATATTCAGACTTAGGGGAAAGAATCGGCGCTATCTTAAGTTAATCTTGGGCGAGGCAGCTACAAGTCTGGATTCTATCTGGCGACAGGGGGTAGCTACAGGGGGTAGAGGGTGAAGTGGCTGAGGGACGGAGGAAAGGACCGTTGTAGGAGGGAAATACGACATCTAAATTTTGTCTGGTCGGATTACAATCGTGACTATGTCGTGACAGATTGTGATGTATCGGGTCAAAATCGTAACAACGTCCTCTGTTTTCTGGACGGTGTCCTGTGGATCGGGATGCTGTCGTGATGAATGGGAAGATTTAGAGAAATTGTTCATTGCCGTTTCTTGTCGATTGAGTCCAGATCTTGCCGAATGCGAACCGTCTTTGTCGGTTCACTGTCTGGTCCTACTAAGAACGGCAGTAAAAATCCTGAATGTGTGACTGAGCCCTCAGGAATGGTCCTATCAAGGACGGCAGTAAAAATCCTGAATGTGTGACTGAGCCCTCAGGAATGGTCCTATCAAGGACAGCAGTATAAATCCTGAATGTGTGACTGAACCCTTAGGAATGGTCCTATCAAAGACGGCAGTAAAAATCCTGAATATGTGACTGAGCCCTTAGTTTAAGTATTTTAGATGATGCCAAGCTAATTCATCACTGACAACATACTACGGTCCAGTTACCGATAAATCACACGTACTGATTATGTCAATTAAGCTAAAAGTACATGTCTCAGGATGTTGGGAATGGCTGTCCCTCGATTGTCTCCTGGTTGAATTAAGCAGCACTAAAAAAACAAAGATGTCGTTGATTGTTTCATGGGTTTTTTTCATCAAGTGGAGTTTTCCGCATAAACATGGTGAAATACACTGTCATATTATTAAATGATTTAAAACAAACAAACAAAACTTACGGACGGAGGCCACTGGACGCGGAGAAAACAACCAAGTAAAGCTGAAGGAGATGTGTCAGACAGTAAATCGATCACAGGTCAAAATGTCTGCAATAATGTTTAACATCCATGGTAAATATTTATGAACGCTCAAACGCACCTTGACACACATCTGACACAGAATATTATTTTTATGTTGAATTTGTTTTATTTACCTCTGTGTTATATTGTGCATGTTTTGTATGATTGCATAAATTGTTCCTATGGCTTTCTGGCTGAAATATTGCCGATATGAAGTTTATTAACTCACTGTCAGAAACAGAAACACGGCCATTGAGAGAACTAAGAACCAAAACTACATACAATATATCAATAACTAACCCGGCCGGCAATGTGAGTTTAATAAAAGAACTTTAAAATAACTGCACGAAAGATTTCCAACACGACAAACAGTTGTTCAAATTAATTATGTGAAATACAATTCATTTATGTTTTCAGTAACAGTTTATCTTTCCGCATATACAGAGTTGACGACTTCTGTGTGTGAATACATGTTTAACACTATCGCCACGCTTATCAAACACAGCTGGCCAAATACCCGTTGTAACCTACATATACTTCATGTTATCACACACCTGTCAATATCTATTACATATCTATTACAAATCTTGTGATGCTCCAAACGGAAACCAAGTAGTGCGCATGTGTATGACGCGTGTACAGGGCCGGAGTTCAGTATACGCCCCACTCCTGTAGACAGTCAAAGGTTCAAGTTTGTATAACACAGAAGGTGAGGACAATTTATGCTGGAGTAACATCACTAGGTGAGAAATACTCCTGCAGACATCAGTAAAAGGTTCAAGTTTGTGTAACACAGAAGGTGAGTACAGTTTATGCTGCAGGGCGTGTCGCTGACAGACCACGGGTTATAACTGGGACAACGAACAGGGTAAGTTGCTGACAGACCACGGGTTATAACTGGGACAACGAACAGGGTAAGTTGCTGACAGACCACGGGTAATAACTGGGACAACGAGCAGGGTAATAACTGGGACAACGAGCAGGGCGTGTAGCTGACAGACCACGGGTAATAACTGGGACAACGAGCAGGGTAATAACTGGGACAACGAACAGGGCGTGTAGTTGACGGACTACGGGTAATAACTGGGAGAACGAGCATGGTAATAACTGGGACAACGAACAGGGCGTGTAGTTGACGGACTACGGGTAATAACCGGGACAACGAACAGGGCGTATAGTTGACGGACTACGGGTAATAACTGGGACAACGAGCAGGGTAATAACTGGGACAACGAACAGGGCGTGTAGTTGACGGACTACGGGTAATAACTGGGACAACAAGCAGGGTAATAACTGGGACAACGAACAGGGCGTGTAGTTGACGGACTACGGGTAATAACTGGGAGAACGAGCATGGTAATAACTGGGACAACGAACAGGGCGTGTAGTTGACGGACTACGGGTAATAACCGGGACAACGAACAGGGCGTATAGTTGACGGACTACGGGTAATAACTGGGACAACGAGCAGGGTAATAACTGGGACAACGAACAGGGCGTGTAGTTGACGGACTACGGGTAATAACTGGGACAACAAGCAGGGTAATAATTTGGACAACGAACAGGGCGTGTAGTTGACGGACTGCGGGTAATAACCGGGACAACGAACAGGGCGTGTAGTTGACGGACTACGGGTAATAACTGGGAGAACGAGCATGGTAATAACTGGGACAACGTTTAGGGCGTGTAGCTGACTGACTACGGGTAATAACTGGGAGAACGAGCATGGTAATAACTGGGACAACGTTCAGGGCGTGTAGTTGACTGACTACGGGTAATAACTGGGACAACGAGCAGGGTAATAACTGGGACAACGAGCAGGGTATGTAGCTCACAGACCCAGTTTAATACCCGGGACAACGTTTAGGGTGTGTAGCTGACAGACTACGGGTAATAACTGGGACAACGAGCAGACTTTCTCCCTTCCCTGTGACGTATATATGATAGTTTTAGATCAAAAGGATGAACGTGTTCGACTTACCCGCTGTGATATTACATTACACCGGAATTTGATCATAGATATGCCAAGATTTAAAGTCAATAATTGCTCCTCGACTCGTCATCAGTCAGTAGCTGGGAGTTGTACTTTCTTTCCTGGAACACTGATTTTGATTACCTACACCGATTATCAAAACAAAAGCAGATAGATGAAAAGAGAGACATCATATATTCTAATTATACAGTTCTTAAGTTAACTTGTTCTCCTAACTCGGTGGATATTGCACCACCTTCCCGTGACACTAGCGATATGAAGCTGTTTATCAACTGTCTCCAACAGCCACACGTTTATCGGTCTGTAAGAGGCCTCACTGTGCTGATATGTGACCACTTGTATCCGCGACACCCCACATGGTTTGATCGAAGTCCGATGTTTATATCTGACCCACTTGTCTAACATATTAGACACGACCCGTGAAGATTCCGGGGTAGAATAGGTCTTCAGCAACCCATGCTTGCCGTAAAAGGTGACTATGCTTGTCGTAAAAGGCGACTAACGGGATCGGGTGTTCAGGCCCGCTGACTTGGTTGATGCATGTCATCGATCCCAATTGCGTGGATCGATGCTCATGATATTAATCACTGGATTGTCTGGTCCAGACTCGATTATTTACTGGACAGCTGGAATATTGCTAAGTGCGGCGTTAAACAACAAACCAACCAACCAACCAAATCATATGAGACACACAACATGTTAATTTGTCATACCGGGTGGTTCTGATGAAAGTAGCTCGTGTCTGTGTCATGTATGTAGACGCCTTCTGTACAGCCTTCTCTACTGTCATTTCTCGTGAAGTAAGAACGTTTATCAACCTGTTGATAATTACTGGTCTCTGTGAAGGGATTAAGCAACATTTGTAATGAAGGTGAGTTGAAATTGGGTTTAACGTCGCGTCCAAGATTATTGCACTTATATAGCGACGTGCATGCACGTGTATGTGTGTGTGTGGCTGCTTGTACTAGTCCGGACTGATGCCGATTTATAGTGCTAGCTCACTGAGATACCATGCCGGAGTTTAACATGAATACCCCACTCAGACACAGTATACTGACTCCGAGCCGACCAGTCCTTGTTTTAGCCCCTTAATGCCGAGCGCCAGACAGGGTAACAACAAGTACAATCTTTTAACGTCTTTTTGTATGACGCGGCCCGGGATCGAACCCTGGACCTTCCGCTCTCCGGGCGGACGCTCTACCACTGGACCACGGAGGCGGTCCATTTGTAATGAAGCAGCATTTCTCTTTGAATAGTGATTTCAAAGGGTTGATGGGAATCTCGAGTGACATCCTGCTTGTTATCAACACCTGACAGATATAGGTCGTTCTTGTTCCCCGTCAAAGACACTCAATCTCAGACGCAAGGAATCAACGCAGCGTTTCACAGCATCCATACAGAACATAAAATTAAGGTCATGACACATTTTCGACACTCTAATGGGATGAAAGTTATTAGAGTTGTCTGCCCTTGTTGTGCACTAAGATCCGGTAAATGTACATGAAAGCTAAAGCAAAGCAACAACACACGAACACGAAATGATCTGGTGTGTGTTCAGGATTTATTAAGTTGATCAGTTAGTGACAGTACTAGTCCACGCATGTAACAGGTAATATTGACCACTTGAAATATCACACAATGACAGTTTGGGAGCATTCAGTGGATTTTTAAAAAAAATAAGTTTGAAAGTTTGTGTAACATCTGCACACTGGGTTGTGCACTAATGTCTGTTGATTCTGTTGGTTGTTTTCAGTTAATTGACGTATGAATCAAATGGTCGATGTGCAGATTTTTGTAAGAAACCACTATGGATTCATACAGTTAGCACACGAGTATTTCTATTCATTCCTTAAAGAATAGAAACAAATATGCAGTTAATCCTTAAGTACATTAGTATAGAAATAATGTTTTATGTATAGATCATACATTGTCTGTCAGAAACTATCACACTCATACCATGACGCATTCTACAAAGGAATGTTCTTGTGAGATAACGCGAACTGGAGTGAATATTTTGGAGATGAATTCTTTAGAGTGAGTGAGTGAGTAAGTGAGTATGGTTTTATGACACTTTTAGCAACATTCCAGAAATATCAAGGCGGGGGACACCAAACATGACCTTCACACCTTGGAATCGTTTTGTACGATGGTAACAAAGACCACAGTTACTGATCTGCCCATCAAACAAAGTTATCACAAAATGTTTTTTTGGTATTTTACACCACAAGTGGAAACTGTTTAAATAGGGCTCTTTTCCGACATAAGTTACGCCAGTGAGTCACGTCTCTGTGGTATTACAGAATAGTAAACATGTTAATTCGTCAGTCATTTTGCTTTTTTTTACAAAAACGTTGTTTTTTATCTCCCAGGAAGGAACTAAGTTAATCACGGAAGGCTCTCCAGGAGGGAGGATGGAACCATTGCAAGACCAAGACCAAACTGATCGTGATGTTGGTCTACTTCTGACTGAAGTTTTAGACGAAATAGATAGAGGCCCACAACAGGGGCGACACCCCACTTCTACATCTTCCACACAACAGAACTATTGTAAGTTCTTGTTTGTCATGACACAACAGGTTTAAAAACAAGTTATTAATCATCTTTTTGATTGTGTGCGTACAACAGTGTGCGTTGTTTTGTAATCTCGCTGGTAGTAAACTCTGTACTTGTGACATGGCACATCTAAGGAACTACATTTTCGTGTGTAGTTTTAGGGCAACTGAAAATTAAAAGTAATATTTGTAGGAATATGACTTTCTGAACGTGCTATTATTACATTTGCATTTGCTCTCATATATCCAACAATGTCAGCTGTGTTTGTAACCAGGAAGGAATGGTGTCTGTGTTCCAGATCAGTGTCCAGTGTCCCAGACTAACATCTCTAATGCCTCTAATGTTTCTGTTGGGGATCTGGCACACAGGGGTTGCCTGTCACAGGGTAAGAACGTTAGTACTCTCAATGAGAACTGCAGAAGTAGTGTGCACTGGCAATAAGTACTATATATTTGTAATGTATCATTTTTCTTCTTCTACAAACACTTGTTATCACAGTGTCATATCAAGAATGTTTGTACGCTATCGCAGGCTTCCTGGTGTTTGATATCAGTACAGCAAGTCGCTTTTCTTTTCTTGATGAGATGGTTTTTAATACTCTTTCTTCACAGAATATGTATGGTTTGATACATGAATTTTCACTTATCGTAAGGCAAACAGTAGCACTGTGATGACTCCTCAGAATAATTTTACAAAAAGATCTCTGTTCACTGCAAAGAGGTTACCAATCAGAACAAAGAGTTTTTCATTCACAAGTCTCTTTCAAATGTACACAAAAAGGATGCAAAACAATACGTATGAATGAAATGTATGGAATCTAAAGATATATGTTCATTTAAGACCTGTCTACTCCCGTTTGTAAGTGAGTGAGAGTAGTAAATATACACTGCTTTAAACATTTAAACAAGTTATACCACACGTCAGCTTTATTTAGGACACACGCCCATAGAGATGTAAATCTTAGAAGTTTACACCTTTTGTGAAACCCACGAGCAAGATATTCTTCTTTATTTCTTCATTTGATTCCTCATAAGTAGAATAGAATTACAGATAGCATGATACAAAATTGTGAGAAAGAGGGAGGTTTAATTAAATCCGCCACTTTCTTTTCAGACAACCTCACAACAAGGATAGACAATCTGAAGAAGGAATTTATTCACGTTCATGCTCTAGAAGTAGCAGAGGAGTTGCTGAAAAAGAACAGACATATTGCCATCAACGGAGCTCCAGGGGATGGGAAAACCAGCATCGCTTTAATGCTTTGTGATACATATCTAAAGAAAAGTCATAGCGTATTGTTCGTAGAAAACGTTGACCACTTTGATGTTAACCTGATCATCAAAAGGAACAATGATATGCTTGTTGTCTTTGACGACATGTTTGGTTCTGTTACATTACCGTCAAGTTTAGAAGCTATCCACAAAGTGTTCAGCGCCCTGGTTGAATCTGTGTGTGTCTTGAGTGTGTCACAACCAGATAAAGCTACTTCAGGACAGACATTCAAGCTTCACTTTCTTTTCACATCACGAACCAACAACTGGAATGAGGGATGTTCAAGACTGCATCAGTTCAAAGGCAGCCTCTTCAGTTCACAAGTTGTCGTTGATTTGACAAAAACAGGCCTTTCAGAAAAAGAAAAGGAATCCATTCTCACATCCTTCATGAGAGAAAATTCACATTTCGACATTTCTCAGGAGGATATGAAAGCTATTACACAGATACAAAACAGCATGTTTGGATTCCCATTGACCTGTAGACTGTACGTCCAGAACACAGTCTTCCACATGAAGACTCGAGACTTTTTCCAGCACCCTGTGACCTATTTGAGAGGCGACCTTGACAACATTGTCAGAGAACAGAGTAGCAGATCAGTAGCTCTTATTCTTCTCATCCTGTGTGGTGGGAAACTGGACCTTGTTTCCTTTCAACTAGGAACGAGAGGAGCCTACACCGCCCTGTTTCATGCTGTACAGGAGGTGGTGCCATCGTGTACTCCAACGGACATTGGTAACGAAATCAGAAATTTCATTGGCTCCTACTGTAGAGTGGAGAATAATGTGGCTTCCTTCTCACATCCATCCATCTATGATGTGGCAGCATGTGCCCTTGGTAATATCATCCCTGTGTTGTTGTTAAAGCATTGTTCTATGAAGTTTTTGTATGAAAGAGTAAGACAGGGTAAGAACGATCAACAACTGTCAACAGACACCGATGATGTCACAAATATGATCTACATCACGTCTCGACTACACCCAACAGTACTGACCAGGCTGGTGGAAGGCATACAACAAGGATGTTTCAGATGGACACTCACCCATCCTCTTTTGAGGGACGCTCGATTTGCCTCCCTACTTCAACAAGAACTGGCTGATCACTTGCAACACATAGTTACAAAGAAGGACAATGATTCTGGTGAATGTTTCTTTTATTATGTGTCACTGTCAGATAGCGATATACTTTTTACCCAGTCATTGGAAATACTTCGTAGAAGGGAAAACAACCAAGTTCTTTCAGTGGAGAATAGAAACTACCTCTATGATGGTTTATTTGCCTGTGTGCTATGGCATAAGCTCAGACACCTTCAAGATATTATAGATATGCTTCAGGAAGGTCATATTTTCGATGTCAACTGGAGAAAGGGAGATAGAACCCTGCTGATGTTTGCTGCAGAGTCAGGTCATTTGGATGTGTTCAACGTATTGTTAAACTTGAAAGCAGACGTTTTACTTACTGACAAGAAAGGATATACTTGTCTTCACCACGCTTGTAAATCAGGGAGCAAAGATGTCAGTATAGCTATTGTTAAGCTTTGTCCTGATTTGATGAATGTATTTGCCGAGAAAGGCCTGACAGCTGCCATGTTGTGTTGTTTGTCAGGTCAGAATGAAGTTCTGAAAGAACTTGTGCGGCTAGGAGCAAATCTCAGTCTCACAGACAACAAAGGTAGAAACTGTCTTCATTTGGCTTGTGAAAGTGGACCCCCATCTACAGTGAAATATTTGTTGTCTCTGAAAACAACTGATATCAATAGTAAAGGATGGCTCAGGCAGACACCAGCTATGATTGCAGCACTACATGGACATTTTGATGTCTACAACCTGCTGGTATCAGAGGGTGCTGATCTGTCACATACTGATGATAACAACAATGATTGTCTGATGTTGGCATGCATGGGAGGCAGCATGCCTATTGTTAAACACATCTTGCCCTTGAAACTGTTTGCCATCAATAAGAGAGAAGGATTAAACAAGACACCAGTTTTGTTGGCAGCAGAGAGAGGACACTCAGATGTTTATAATCTTCTTGTGTCAGAGGGGGCTGATCTGTCGCTCACTGATGATTACAAACATGATTGTCTGATGTTGGCTTGTATTGGAGGTAGCATGCCTATAGTGAAACACCTCTTGTCCTTGAAAACATTTGACATCAATACGAGACAATGGTTCAACAAGACACCAGTTATGTTGGCAGCTCAGAGAGGACATGTTGATGTTTATAATCTTCTTGTATCAGAGGGGGCCGATCTGTCACTAAGTGATTTGATGAACAAACATTGTTTGATGTTGGCATGTGAGGGAGGTAGCATGCCTATTGTGAAACACCTCTTGTCCTTGAAAACATTTGACATCAATAGGAAAGGAAAATTTACCAAGACACCAGTTATGTTGGCAGCAATGAGAGGACATTTAGATTTATATAATCTTCTTGTATCAGAGGGGGCTGATCTGTCACTTACTGATGAGGACAACAATGATTGTCTGATGCTGGCATGTAAGAGAGGTAGCCTACCTATTGTGAAACACCTCTTGTCCTTGAAAACATTTGACATCAATAGGACAGGCTGGTTCAACCAGACACCAGTTATGTCGGCAGCAAACAGTGGACATTTAGATGTATATAATCTTCTTGTATCAGAGGGTGCCGATTTGAAACTTACTGATGTGATGGACAAAGATTGCCTGATGTTGGCATGTGTAGGAGGCAGCATGCCTATTGTGAAACACCTCTTGTCCTTGAAAACATTTGACATCAACAGGAGAGGAGGGTTTAACCAGACACCAGTTATGTTGGCAGCAGAGAGGGGACATGTTGATGTAAGCAATCTTCTTGTATCAGAGGGTGCCGATCTGTCACTTACTGATGATGGCAACAATGATTGTCTGATGTTGGCTTGTGGGGGCGGTAACATGCCTCTTGTGAAATACCTATTATCCTTGAAAACATTTGACATCAATAGGAGAGGAGGACAGTTTAATCAGACACCAGTTCTGTTGGCAGCAGAGAGGGGACATGTTGATGTTTATAATCTTCTTGTATCAGAGGGGACAGACCTGTCACTTACTGATGATAACAACAATGATTGTCTGATGTTGGCATGTAAGAGAGGGAGCATGCTTATTGTGAAACACCTGTTGTCCTTGAAAACATTTGACATCAACAGGAGGGGATGGTTAAGAAAGACACCGGTTATATTTGCAGCAGAGATGGGACATGTTGAAGTTCGTGATCTTCTTGTATCAGAGGGGGCTGATCTGACACTTACTGCATGACGTATCCCCCTTGACTACTCTGTATAACTAAACCGATGTATTAAAGAAAACGTTGTTTTTCCATGGTGTGAAGTAAAAGACGCTACATCTCCTAAGAAAGGTTTTGATTTACAATGACACAACGACAAAAGGGGCACTCAATGAGAGAAGTTAAAATGTCACTATCAAAACATCTGTCCAATGACGGTATTGCAAGGCACTAACACCTGATCAATAACGAGTTCGACTACCTCGTGCATCAATCAACACCACAACACGTCGCCGTACTGATGACGTCAAACGTGGGATGACTTAAGCAGGCACCCTTTGTCTTTCGTCTAGTAGAGCTTTTCCATGCCCGGACGGTTGACTGGTGGTATTGGTCGCCTTCTGATTTGTCTGTCAGGATGATTCCATAAACGTTTGATGGGGTATCATGCCACAAGGTCATGCAACACAGGAATGTTCCTGTTGTTCAGGAAGTCTTGCGGTATTCATGCTGTATGGGATCTCGCGTTGTCTTGCTGAAAGAGAATACTGCATGGTCGTTGTAGCAGAAAAGGATGAATAAAGGGACCTAAACGTCATATTGATACCACTGTGCATTCAGGTTATGGTGAATGATGACATACCTTTATCCATGATACACTGGGAGATTCCTGAGACAGCCAAGTGTGAATCAGACCTGTACAATGTAAAATACGCTGAATTCCATTTTCTTTATTAAACTTCACTTTGTATATTATACCTGATAAGTTGCTTTCTGGTAGATTTAATTTACGCCAGTATGATACCATTCTAAACTTTTTAAATGTTAAATTGATATTTACTCCCCATGTACCATGATATCAGAGTAGTTTGCTTAACCTTCCACATATATATTTGCAATAGCTTAACTGAACACGTTCCAGTATAATGTAGAATTTTTGAAGCTTTATACCTCAGATCCATACAACAATCCAGTGGGTCAAATATTTTTTAGTTGTCAGTTATTTGGTACTTCTAACAATCGTATTTATTATTTGAATAACCCGGAATCAAATGATCAATATCAAGTACAAACATTTGTTGGCTGTTAAACAAAAGTCCATTCTTATTAACTGTGCTAAATGTGTCTTAAAAGCTAAAATGTATTTGTAATATTGCTAACTGTCACTGTATAATGGCCTTTCAACTGAATAAACCATTAAGACAGTATCACTGGCATAGAGAATTTACTAATCGTTGAATAAAACTTCCAATTTCAATTAAAATATGATCATTTACTTTTTCCATACCGATACTGTCATTATCTGACAAAAATGACACGGTGTCATTCAGATAAAGAGCAAAGAGAAATTGGGGCAAGTTTTCGCCGTGCCTTACTCCAATGTTACGAGGAAAAAATCTCAATTACACTGCCATTATGAGAATGACATGATTGTATCTGTTTGTACATGTTATTTACATTAAAACATTTACCAGTGATTTTACTTTTAATCATTTTTTACCATAAGCCATAACGCCAGACCGTATCAAAGGCCTTAGTAAAATCAACAAATACACAATACAGTTACTTATTTGGGTTTATGTATGCATTGGTGCATCTTTTAAAATATACATATTATCAGTAGTTGACTAGTTGTTTTTGTGCTGAACCCGGCTTGGACTTTCCCGACAAGTTCAACTTGGTCACAGTTGTCAGTGTAGTCAGTTATTCAAAATGGGGGTGAGTGAGTGAGTGAGTTGGGTTTAACGCCGCTTTTAACAGTATTCCAGTTATATCACGGCCTGTCAGCTTAATGTGGGAGGAAAGCCCGAAGTGATGCAGGTCTCAGACGTTTACCACTTCGGTGAAACCCACGAGCACGGGTATGGTGCTGACAAACCTAGAAACATAAACGGGGCGAACCGGGATTCGAACCCACAATCATAGGTTTCTGGCGTGCCTAAGGGACAAAATGGGGGTGAATACTACAGAAGTGGTTATCGAATTCTCATAAGGTTCTAGAGAGAATTCCATCAGAAGACAGAGCATCTGAAGTTAACCTGAGCAAAGGTTACTTACCTTCTATGAAAACATTGGGGTTGTTGTGGATTGCTGAAACGGATGTGTTCATGTTGAAATCTGAACTACCTGATACTGGTGCAAAACTCACAAAAGGAACCTTCTTGAGCAATGTTGCAAAACTCTTTGATCCATTAGGGTTTGTTGCTCCATTTACCATCACTGCCAGGAAACATGGACAGCTGATCTTGACTGGGACGATGAGATAACTGGAGACCTGAAAAACAAACTATCAAGGTGGTTAGAAGTGAAGGAAATGCATACTTTAAATGGAGCTAGGTGTTTGTGCTTAGGTCACAATTACCTTGTCTCATATCATGCTTTTGTGGATGCATCGCAGGAGGCGTATGGGGCCGTTGTGTATGTGGTTCATCCATTTCTTACGAGCAGATCTAGTAGATTAGTGGCAGCTAAAAGTTGCGTAGCACTGCTTAAAGCTGTGAGCATACCTCGATTGGAATTGATGGCTGCCATAGTTGGTCTGAGGTTAGTTTTGACAGTGGCAAATGCACTTAACTTTGAAATCCAAACTGTTAAGTTCTGGTCAGACAGTTTGAATGTCCTATGCTGGATAAAAAGCAACAGTAGATATTTCACAGCATTTATAGCTAACAGGGTTGGGGAAATAGTCTGTTACTAATCCGTTTCAGTGGACCCGTGTTCCCTCTGAAATGAACCCAGCTGTCATGTTGTCTCGGGGCGTATCTGCAACACAACTAGCAAACAACAAGTTCTGGTGGTCAGGTCCTGAATTCCTAGAAAAAGAAGAAACAAAATGACCAGAGCAAAAACTGTCACGGTACAATAATGATAATGACATAAGGAATAAAGAAAAACATAAAAAGATATCTGCTTTACTCGCTGTTGGCACTGAACAGACCAGGGTCCACTTGCACAAAGCGATCTTAGCGCTAAGATGATCGTAACTCCCATACTTTAACATAGGCTTACAATAGTCGTAGCGCTAAGATCGCTTTGTGCAAGTGGGCCCTGGAGACTTGAACCAACAAGATACTCAAGTTGGCAAAGAATGCAAGGATCTATCGATTTCTACACAACTGTTCATCACAAAAGAAGGTGAGGACAACAGGTGAACTGTCTTCAGATGAAAAGTATTGTCTCCAAATTCCAAACACCTTAGTCTTCAACCGGTAATTGATGACCAGGAACTCATGAGAGTAAATGGTCAGTTATGAAAAGCTGCATGTCTTTCTTTTGGAGCAAGATTCCCAATTATCCTCCCATGACATAATTGGGTAACGAAACTCATTGTTAAGCACTATCATGAAGCAGGAAATCATGTCATGGGAACAAACCAGACATTATCAGCCCTATTGTCAAAATTCTGGATCATCTCTGGAAGAGAAGAAAATGGGACCATGAGTGTGCTAAGTGCAAACGAAACAAAGCAAAACCAGCATACCTAGTGTTGGCACCATTACCGAAGTTCAGAGTACAACCATCACTTCGACCAATACTGATGCAGGTGTAGGTTTTTTTGGTCTGTTCTTGAAAGTACAATGAAGGAATAAGACGAGACAAAAACGTTATTTGTGTTTGTTCACGTGTCTCAAGGCCAGGGCTGTGCATCTCGAAGTTGCATATGGTCTATATACAGACTCGTTTTTGAATGCATTCTATCGCATGGCGAGCAGAAGAGGTCTTCCTAAGTCATGGTATCAGATAATGGTACAAACTTTGTGGGTGCAGTTAAAGAACCGAAGGAGCTCGTACAACAAATGGATCGAGATGTTGTTAAGATATATGTAGCAAATAAAGGAGTAAAATGTTTTTTTCAATCCTCCACACACTCCTCATTTCGGGGGAATATTTGAAACCACGATTAAGGCAGCAAAGTGCGCAATCCATGCCATCCTTAGCAAAGGTGACATCACATATGAGGATCTTATCACAGCAATGGTGGGAGCAGAAGGTCTCATAAATTCCAGGCCTCTCACGTACCAGTCAGCTCACCCTCAAGATGACACACCACTCACACCAAAACACTTCCTTCATGGACAAGCTGGAGGTGTTTTTGCACGTGAATGTGTGGACACAACAGACTTCAACCGCAGAAGACGTCGGCGCAGGATACAGGAACACTTTTGGAAAGATGGATGCGAGAATGATTGCCAAGTCTCAACACGCGCAAAAGGTGGAACAGACAAGATCGAGATTTGCAAAAAAAAGACGTGGTGCTGGTGATCTCGCAAAACACGCCCAGAGGACACTGGAAGCATAAAGACTTACCCTGGAGCTGACGGTCACGTTCGGGTAGTGGATGTTAGGGTTGGTCAGACTGCACTAACCAAATCTATAAAGAACATCAGCCCACTGGAATGGAACGACTCAGAAGAAAACTCAAAAGACCAAAGATCGGGTTTCAAGGATAAGGCATTCAAGGATAGGATCAAGTTGGTGCAAAGAACTGTGCAAAGAACTGTGAAATAAACTGTACATAGTGAACTGTGTCGTTATTTTTTTTGATAGACTATAGTCCATGAAAATGGACAGAAGGACTGTGTGCCAAATCGCAACAGTAAAACAGTGCGCCAAACGCACCCGAACGAAAATGTTGTGTTTCATGTGCCAGATGAACTTAACATGTAACGCGACTGTGGTTTTCAGACTTTGTTGTGCAAAAGTTGTCAGGTGGCAACATGTGCTTATAGTTTCGTCCCAATTTAGAATAGAAACGTGGTTATAACACAACATAGTAACAGAGTTCACATAAAAAAGTGAACTTATTCACTTGGTCCAGTGAATAGAACGTCTGACCAGAGACCATATCTGTTGTCACACACACACACACACACACACACACACACACACACACACACACACTCACGGATATACAGCTCGGCTGTAGCAAAATGTTGGTGTATTGGCCGATAAACTGAGGAAGATCTATTTCACGGCTTTCAAAAGAACAGTCTGTTTGACTCCAAATGAGAACGATGAATTGCAAAATAACTCGAAATCCAGAAAAGTGTATGAAACATCAATACGGTACTTGACCATGAATACCCTGTACCCAACAAAATCTGAATTTTGTTTATTTGAAGACCCATGACGGATGAAGTTCTTTAAGAAACTATTATGTAATTTTGTATAGAAATGTGTACATGACACGTAGAGGGGACAAACCGTGGAAGGCACAGCGCAAGCACGGTCTGCACGTGCTACACAGTGACCGTGTTCATTCAATGACAAGACTCAGCAGATGTGAACGTGGGATGCCGACCAACATCATAAACATGACATGTCAGCCATTTATACTTTTACTTTAACAACCAAATCAACATGTTATATTGGTATGTAACATTTCTTTTAACATTTAATAAATAGGGATGGTTGCCAACCGGAGAATAATGGCAGTGTAATTGAGTTTTTTCCTTGTAACATTGGAGTAAGGCACGGCGAAAACTTGTCCCAATTCCTCTTTGCCCTTTAACTGAATGACATCGTGTCATTTTTGTCAGATAATGACAGTATCGGAATGGAAAAAGTAAATGAACATATTTTAATAGAAATTGGACGTTTTATTAAACCATTGGTAATTCTCTAACCCGATGATACTGTCTTAATGGTTTATTCAGTAGAAAGACCATTATACAATGACAGATAGCAATATTACAAATACATTTTTCTTACAGCAAGAGCTTTAAGTCACATTTAGCACAGTTAAACCGCCAACAAATGTTTGTACTTGATTTTGATTATTTAATAGTTCCGGGTTATTTATAGATATATGTATATTTAGGGCTCCAAGCCGAAAGGCTGTAGAGCCCTATTGTAATCGTTCGATTTATTAGGGCTCCAAGCCGAAAGGCTGTAGAGCCCTATTGTAATCGTTCGATTTATTATTAGGGCTCCCTGCCATCCTGGCAAGAGCCCTATTGTAATTGTTAGATTTATTATTATTATTCTTTATTATTATTATTATTATTCCGGCCGATTTTGTTCCAATCCTACCTCCAAAACTACTGCTCAGGATCTCTTCAAAATTTCCACAAAGATAGCTTAGCTACTGAAGTTATGCCCACAAAAATCTCAAGACTCTAGACTCAAAGACTAAGGGCAGATAACTCAAACCAACTTTAAAAATCGCAATTTCAACAGCTAATAACTCCGCCACGAAAGCTCCAAAGACATCCAAAATTCTTGAGCTGGTGCGCATTCAGATGGCCAACAAATTCTCTACACATCCAATGTAGCGAAATTGCTTCGTTTGGCCTCCAGATCGGATTAAGTGTTTTTGCACTGTTTTTTAGCAGATATCTCAGTACTTGACTCCCAAAATCTGCTCAGCTCAAACTACCAGCTCAAAAGCTTCCAAACTCTCCACACTTTGGCTCCAAGTACCATACTAACAACTTCGCAAG